TTTTTTTTAAAGATGACCGGTAAGGGGATCTTAACCCTTGACTTGGTGTTGTCAGCACCACGCTCAGCCAGTGAGCGAACCGGCCATCCCTATATGGGATCCGAACCCGGGCCCTTGGTGTTATCAGCACCGCACTCTCCCGAGTGAGCCACAGGCCGGCCCCTGAGGGGGTATTTTAATGACATGAAAAGAATAAAAATAAAAATGAAAACAGGCTGGTTATAAAGGGGTATGCACCCTTCCGTGTTTAAAAGGCACATGAATGAATAGCTGTAAATATGTATCACAATGTTTGGAAAATATACATCAAAAGTTAACGGTAGGTAACTCTGGGAAGTGAAATTCCTCTCCTTTGTACTTTCCTTTCTTCCTCTGATGAACTGCTCTTACTTGAATAACAAAAGTGTTTCTACAGCCAGCCAGCGTGTGCGGGAACAGCAACCCCACGCGGGATGCTGGGTCCAGAAGCCAGACACATACCAGGATGTCCCGCAGCTCTTCCTCTCGCTGCTTCTTCTCTTTGAGCAGCTGCTGGAGCAGGGAGCTGAGGGCCCAGCGCTGCTCGGAGATCCTCTCCTGCAACATGAGACCACACCCAGGGCTGCAGTGAGCACGCAGCACCCCAGGAGTGCCCATGGTGTAGCGGCGAGGTCGAGAAGCGCAGGGCTTAGGGACACCCCCACCCCAGCCCGCTCCCTCAGTCCTCAGCTGGCCGCTCAATTCAAGGCTCTGCCTGGTGCCTCTAGGCTGAGCTGGGGACAAAGCCAAGTGGTCCCTCTACCCTGGTATCCCTTCCCCCTTCTCCCAAGCCCACATCTCCTTTCTTTGTGGCGTTAAGACCAGGCTTGGGATCCTAGCGACAACGACGGAGTGGTAAGAAACATCAAACAGGAGATGACAAGCCACAGGTACTTGCCTTGGGGCTCACTGACTACAGAGCACGTGGCAGAAGCTGACAGCGGGGAGGGTTGGCGTGGAACCCATGAGGAGGCTCCATGCGAACAGAGGCACACACAAGCCAGGACACGTGTGTCTACGTCCCGCTCACCCACTTACTCTCAGAAACCCCACGGAGCCCCGACAGCGGGGGTCCTGCCAGCCGTGCTGAGCAGAGACGAGGGCACCCACCAAGCACTTCACTGAGAGTACCCTCAGCCCCTTCCTCTCTTAAGATCGTCTCGAGGCTCATAAAGTGTTTTCCTGTTCCTGGCCTACAGTTCTCTGATGGCCCTGTGACACAGACTGGGCTGGCTGCTGACTTCCTTTGGGGGAGGGGAAGAAGGGAGGCCTGGAGAGGGACAGCGGCCTGCTTGAGGTCACACAGCATGTCTGGGCCAGACCCGAGGCCAGGACTATAGACCTCAGCTCTTTCACACTGAGAAGCCCGCAAGACAACCTGAGACTTCTCCACCAAGAACAGACACAGGGACAGTGACAGACAGAAGGCTTGGCTCAAAAGCATGGCACGGGTACATTTCCTCACATACCAACCCATCCAGCCCCTTTGTATGCATCGGGGGAGACTGAGGTCCGGAGAAGGAAAGGGCTGCCCCTCATCCCCCATCTGCCAAAGTCATGGTCACATAGCCAGGCTGTGCTGAGACCAAACCCAGGGCTCAGACGTCCTGTCCAGAATGCTGTCTGCCAGTCCCTGCCAACTCTCACACCTCTGTGAGCACAACACCCAGGCCGAAGCTCAAAGAAAAGTCAACTGCAGAGACTGACACAAAAATGGCTGGGCCCTCCCCTCCAGACATCCTTGGGACACCAAGAAGCTCGTTCCCCAGAGGATGTCAGCCCAGGGAGCCCAGCAGCCCAGAAGCATAGCTTAAGAGATGGGGAGCTCTGCAGCCACCCCACTCCAAACACAGGAAATGCAGAGATGGAGACGTTGGCCAGGATGAGCCTTGGCAATGAAACCCTCCTTCCTCTGACCTTCCTGCCTAGCAATAGGCTGATCCGACCTCTAACCTTGGCCTGTGCTGGGACTTCTGGGGCCGGGGGGCTTCCTCCGGTGTCACAGCCACAGAGGAGACCTCCCTCTATCTGCTGGAGAAGCTCTCCCTCCCATGGGCTGGTGAGCAGCGGCCCAGGGGCTGGAGGGGACACCAGGAGGGGCTCTCATCACGTGAGGGAGAGGAGGGGCGGGCAGGCCAGGGAGCCCTACATACCTGTAGTGTCTCTGTGTCCAGGGATTTCCTCTTTAACTCCAGCTGTGTCAGCTGCAATAACTCAGTTTCTATTAACTTAATCTAAACAGAAGATGAGACAGGGTTTTTTTTTTATTCACATTACCCATGGTTTTTCAGTTCTGTGCTGCTGTCTGATGGCTGAGTGAGGTCTAAGAAATCCTTCAGGGGGAGGCTAGGCCGGCTCAGGAATGAGGGGAACCACCAGGCCTCGGGAACCTCATCAAAGGGGGTTTAAAAAGAATCATTTCATGATTCTGGGTGCCTTGGGGCATAGATGTGCTTGTCTTGGCCAACATTGCTAACCAAGAGCCGAGCACAGGGCCTGTACCAGAGTGGGCGCCGAATAAAGCTTTATGGAACGAAGAAGGGGTTCCCTTCAAGACTCAGGAAAGAGTAAAGAACAGGCAGAATTATCCCTGAGCCTCTTACTGGTCAAATCCTCTTGCTTCCTCTACAGAGCTGTTACAAGGGAGAGCAGAGGGTGAGGGAGGCGACTGAATAATAACGGTGACAGTAGGAGCTGATACTGATCGAGCATCTCCTGTGTGCTAGGCTGTGCTGTGCACTCTATATGCACCGTTTCATCCACTCTCCTCTGGCTGTTAGGAGGTATGATTGCCTCCATTTGACAGACAAGGAAATGGAGGCTCAGAGAGGTCAAGTAACTTGCCCCAGGACACAGAGCAGGTAAGTGGTAAGTGAGAGAGTCCCTTCCTTGGGATATCCCTGCTCAAGGTCTGAAGGGGAATAGCTGGGCTGGTGGGTCAAAACTACCCATAGTGAGAATGTCTGGGGGCCACCACACATTCTCAGATGTGTCTGGGGGCTGTTAGTCCGGGTAGTCAGACCACATAGCCGGTGATTTCTCTACCCTGTGCCCATGACACTATGACCACCGTCCCTAAGTCCCTATGACCCCACCACCCCCGGTCAGAGGAATGAGCTTCATGTCCAGCAATGTGGGATTGAAATTAAAGAGGGAAATAAAAAGGTAAGTTGGTTTTGGCCAAAAAAGAAAATAATAGAAAGAAAAAAAAAGTGTGAAAACGAGAAATTCCAGGCGTGCTGACTGTGATGCGATGAGCGTTCCACAGCACGAAAGCTCGCTCCAGCTCCCAGCCCTGCTCCCTGAGGCAGCTGCCAAAGCCACTGCGGTGGGTCCGCCCAATGCCACCCCACAGGTCAGCAGGCGAGCCTCCTATGCCGAGGTCCCTCCTCAGCAGATGTTGGGACCATGTAGACTTGTGGTGTGTCCCGCCAACCCAGGTGGGTAATGCGATCTGTGCGATCTGCCCCAGAGACGCCTCGAGCTGTTCTTCGGTCAGTCTGAGCCGAGGGGGGCATTGGGGTCTGAGCTGGCTGCTTGTCCCCACAAGGGCACCCTGCTTGGGGCACGGTCAGTGCAGAGGCCGCCCCATTAGCCAAGGCATGCGATCTGCCCCAGAGACGCCTCGAGCTGTTCTTCGGTCAGTCTGAGCCGAGGGGGGCATTGGGGTCTGAGCTGGCTGCTTTTCCCCACAAGGGCACCCTGCTTGGGGCACGGTCAGTGCAGAGGCCGCCCCATTAGCCAAGGCCACGCACCAGAGCTACCCCTTCCCCTGCATCGTGGAAACAGTGAGAACAGGCCACATTTGCTGAGCAAGTCTCTAGCCAGGCCCTGGGGTAAGGGCATTAGCAGGGCCACTCAAGGCACCCTCCCAACAGCCCCTGACGTAGAGGGAGGTCCCGAGAGCGAGACTGCTTGCCGAGCTGGCGAGCACCAAGCCATGACTCAAACTGTAACTGCTGCTGACTGCCACCCTGTTGAGCCTCCTCTTGAGTCCCCAAAAGCTGATAGGGCAGGTCTAGGTGAGGCCCCAACCCCAATGCTCACCTGGTTCCTGATCTGCTGATGCATCCGGTCCCTCTTCACCTGCAGAGCCTCGAACGCGGCCTTCTGCATCGCGCTCTGCAACAGAGACCACAGGCTGCTCAGCAGAGGGCCCCGGCCCTGCCTTTTCCCGCAGCCCCGTCTGGGGAGAAACAAAATCTGTGTAAACAGCACCTTCACAGAGGATTTTTCTGTGTCTTAGAGAGAAAGATAGATAACTTTTTCACCTAACTTGTTTAAATTCTTGAAATAAGCGTGAGGGCTCGCTGCGGCCTGGCCACCACATGCTGCTCTCCCTGTGTCACGCACTGAAGTTCTGCAGCCCCCGATGGCGTGGGAAACTGAGGCTCACAGGCGTGACTGGTAGGAGGTGCCCAGTCTGTCTGGCCCCTGAGCCTCACCTTAACCACGAGGCAGACCCCTCTCTGGGAAACAAGAGAATTTTCCTCAGTCCTACAAACACTAAGTCAGACTATTCTAGAACAAACAGACTGGTTGGAGTTAGGGAGAAAGGGGAGAGGGGAAGATGGGCTGGGTGAGGCCAGGATGACATGTACAAAACAAAAGGGAGAGGAGCAAGGACAAGGAGTAACCGAGGGACAGATTCCATGGGGCGGCGGGGAGAAAGCGGAATGGACACCGTGGACAGAGGGGGAGAGCGCGGGCTCTTCGCTTCACCCACTCGAGGGTACAGTGGTACAGCAGGTTTGAAAGCCAGAAGAGGTCAGGGGTCCCAGAGTGTTGTGGTCACCATCACCTCCTGCCCCCAAATCCTTATGATGGCCTCCTAGGGAAGGGGTGGGGAGCGATTCTCTAGATACGGTGACCAGAAGACCGGCCCCCGGAGGCTTCGCCCCACCTCTCATCCTCATGGCCTGTTTACCTCTGAAGTCACCAAGCCTCTCGGGTCCTACACACCATCTGGGACAGAGCTTCATGTGAGTTCTAATGCTCTACCCTGGGCCCCTGCATAGCCCTTCTGAGCCCCCACTGTTGCGCTCTAGGTAAGGGCCCACCTCCTGCAGGATCTGGCTGATGGCTTTGTTCTGGTCCATCTGCTGCCATGACAGGATCTGCTGGAACCGCTCATCCATCTCAGCCATGCTGCCAGAGAGACAGCAAATTCATTTACTATCTGAACATTTCTTGAGCACCTACTATGTGCCAGGCACCTTGGATGACACCAAGATAACCCATTTATTCATTCGACAATACTTACTGAGTGCCTGCTGGGAGCTGCGCTCCGGGCTGGGAACAGACACAGAGTGTGTCTAAATCCCACGGCCTGGAGGGTAGGGGTTAGAGTTGGGAGCTGGCAGAGAGGATCTCCCAGCTCCTCGCACCCAACCCTCCAGTGGAATCCCTCCACAACACCCCCTGAAGTCGCTGCCTGGCCTCTGCCCGGCCACCTCCATGGTGGAGAGCTCCCAACCTCCCAGGTGAGCCACTCGGGCCACTTGGAAACGTGAGGAAGCCGTCCCTCCCCAGCAGCCTCACCCTGACCCAGAGTCTGCTGTCATCACTCCAGAGCAAGTCTGGTGATTGTGGCACAAAACCTGTAACCTCACGTATGTCCATGCTTCGGTACAATCTTGGTTTTAAGTTTGTCTGCTTCATAATAATGACAATAATATATAGGACCCTTATGTGCCAGACATTACACTCATTAACACTCATCAAGTCCTCCTGAGTAGGTGCTGGGATTTATCCCCATTTTTCTGGGGAAATGTCTTCCTCCATAAGAAATTTGAGGCTTAGGGAGGGAAAGCAAGTTGCCCAAGACTTCAGTTAGTAAGCAGAAGGGGGACCTGAGTCCAGCTCTGTCTGACCCCAGTGCCCGTACTCCTTAGCATGATGTCATATGTGAGGAAAGGAGGGAGAAATTCCCACATCTGCCAGGACACAGGGGAGGCTGGCAGCTGTGCCAGAGTCCCCTACACAAGGGAAGAGAAACAAAAAGGCACCAGGGCTGCTGGCCTGTCCCTGACTGGGGCTCTTGAGTGTCTTCTGAGCTTTTCTCAACTGGCTCTGCTGGGCATCTGTGGAACCTTCAACAAGCCACAGTGCCGCGGTGAGCTTGTGAGCCACACCCCAGAGAGGCCATCAGCATGAAAGTTCCCATCACCCGTCCCGCCAGCTCATCCCACTCCCACCCTGTGGACCACTGAGACTGACAAATGCACCATGGTCAAGAGCACACCCTTCACTCTGCTGGGCTCGACGCCTGGCTCTGCCACCTGCCAGTTGTGCTTCCTCGGGCATGTTACATGGTCTCTCGGGACATGAGTTGTGACTGCAAAATGGGGCTAATGACGATACAGTCTCTCATGGAATCAATAAGCTAATGCAATAATCACTTAGCCTAGTGCCTGGCACATAGGAAGTGCACAAGAAACGGGAGTGATTATCATCACTTCATCACAGCCCACACTGAATCATGGCTCCAGCTAGAAAACTCAGGAAGACAAGACACCCTGGCCCCGACAGCATGGCTGAGGCCAGGGCAGCCCATGGCAGGGGATCCCAGAGCCAGCTCTCACCCCAGCAGCTCCCCCAACTCCCTCACCTGGGAACCCTCTTCCTTACCTTACCTGGAACAGGCCTGCTGGACCAAGTTCTGCCTCTGAGTGTCGTAGGCCATCTGGATGAGCCGGTTCTTATAGCTCTCAGTCAGCATCTGCTGCATGGCGGCTGCGGAAACACAGGGCAGCAGGCTGAGAAGGGGCAGCCGCTCCCGGGGCCCCTGGGCTGGGAAGCAGCAGGGTTTCCACTGTAGCTGAGGAACAGGCCTCAAGCCTCTCCTAGTGACCTCCCTGATAGTCACCCTTTAAAAAGTCTCTTTTTTTCTTGTTAACTGTAAAAATAACTTAAGCTTGGAATGCTAACTAATTGTAAAACACTGAACAGCACACACACAAAATCTTCTACAATCTTGTCACCCAGAAATACTATTACATTTTGATATATATTGTTCTAGTCAATTTTATGCACGTTTAAGGATTTTAAAAAATTAAAAGAACTGGGGCCGGCCCGGTGGCGCACTGCTATAGTGCGCCGCTTGGGAAGCGCGGCGGCGCTCCCGCCGAGGGTTCGGATCCCACATACAGACCAGTTCCCGCTCACTGGCTGAGCGAGGCACGGGAGCAACACCGAGGGTTGCGATCCCGTTGCTGGTCCCGGTCCGGTACGGGGGCGACACTGAGGGTTGTGATCCGTTGCCGGACACGGAAAAAGACAAAAAGAAAAAAAAAAAGAACTGAAAGCAGGAACTCAAACAGATATTTGTATACCCATGTTCATAGCAGCATTATTCACAACAGCCAAAAGGTGGAAGCAACACAAATGCCCACTGATGGATAAATGGGTAAAGAAAATGGGGTGTGTACATAGAATGGAATATTATGGGCCGGTCCGGTGGTGCACTGCTACAGTGCGCCGCTTGGGAGCATGGCGGCACTCCCGCCGAGGGTTCGGATCCCACATACAGACCGGTTCCCGCTCACTGGCTGAGAGAGGTGCGGGCGCGACACTGAGGGTTGCGATCCGTTGCCAGACACGAAAAAAGACAAAAATGAAAAAAAAAAAAAAAAAAGAATGGAATATTACTCAGCCTTGAAAAGGGAGAGAATCCCGACACATGCTACAGCATGATGACCCTCCAGGACATTATGCTAAGTGGAATAAACCAGACACAGACGGAGAAATATTATATGATTCCACATACATGAAGTACTTAGAATAGTCAAATTCATAGAGACAGGAGGTAGAATGGGGTTTCTAAGTCACTGTAAAAATAAAAGGAAAGAAGAAGAAGTAGAACGCTGCCTCTGCAGGGGTTGTGGGAGGAGAGAACGGGGAGTTAGTGAATGGGACAGAGTTGCATTTTGGGAAGATGAAAAAGTTCTGGAGGTAGACAGTGGTAATGATTGTATAACAATAATGCTCCTGAGCTGTATATTTAAAAGTGGTTAAAATGGGGGCCAGCCCGTGGTTGTGGTGCTGATAACACCAACACCAAGGGTTCGGATCCCATATAGGGATGGCCGGTTCGCTCACTGGCTGAGCGTGGTCCTGATAACACCAAGGCCACGGGTTCGGATCCCATATAGGGATGGCCGGTTCGCTCACTGGCTGAGCGTGGTCCTGATAACACCAAGGCCACGGGTTCGGATCCCATATAGGGATGGCCGGTTCGCTCACTGGCTGAGCGTGGTCCTGATAACACCAAGGCCACGGGTTCGGATCCCATATAGGGATGGCCGGTTCGCTCACTGGCTGAGCGTGGTCCTGATAACACCAAGGCCACGGGTTCGGATCCCATATAGGGATGGCCGGTTCGCTCACTGGCTGAGCGTGGTGCTGACAACACCAAGTCAAGGGTTAAGATCCCCTTACCGGTCATCTTTAAAAAAACAAAAAGTGGTTAAAATGGTAAACTTAATGTTATGTATATTTTACCATAAGAAAAGAAATTAAGACAGTATCACACTAAACATACCACTTCTCACTTTTTATGAGTACTTCCCCAGTCAACATGATGATGTGATGTTAATGGCTGCAGAGCACAACAGTACCTGGATTGTCAAAGTTTCTTTAGATAATCCTTTATCTAGGAGCATTTGGATTCTTTTTTTTTTTTGTCTTTTTTCGTGTCCGGCAACGGATCGCAACCCTCAGTGTCGCGCCCGTACCGGACCGGGACTGGCAACGGGATCGCAAACCTCGGTGCTGCGCCCGCACCTCGCTCAGCCAGTGAGTGGCCGGTCTGTATGTGGGATCCGAACCCTTGGCGGGAGCACCGCCACGCTCCCAAGCGGTGCACTGTAGCAGTGCGCCACCGGGCCAGCCCCAGCATTTGGATTTTTAATTGAGTTGTTAAACGATACTTCAATAAACATCCTTGCTCAAATATTTTTGTGCACATCTGATTATTTGATTATTTCCTAAGAATAATTCTTAGAAGTACACAGTTTTAAGGCCATGGGTAATATATTTGGGTTACCCTTCTTATCTTCTAGAAAGGTCCTGCTGATTTATACTCCCTTCAGCAGCATACAGGACAGACTAATACCATATACCCTCAACAACTCT